TGGCGCTGCTGGGGGCGAGCGCGGCGCCCGAAGAGAAGCGCGGTGAGTGCGCGACCCGGCCCCGAACCCCGCGTCCGCGTCCCGCGTCCCCAAGCCCCGCGCCCCGTCCCCGCGTCCGTGTCCGTGTCCCCAACACCCGCGTCCGTGTCCCCCGTCCCTGTGTCCTGTGTCCCTGTGCCCCCGCGTCCCAGATCCGCGGTCTGCGCCCCGCCCGGGACCCGGCAAACTGTGCGTTCCACTCGGGTAGGGCGCGCCCGCGGAGGCCGAGACAGGACACGCCGGCGCGGGCTCCAACTTTGCTTCCTCCTTCCCTGGCTGCGCTGCGCCGGCGGCCGGGGCGGAGCTGGGCCGGGCCAGGGGGATCTGGGGCACTGGAGCGATGAGGGACCCGCGTGCCCAGGACCCCGGGACAGACTTCCTACCACCACCGGTCCCTCCGCCAGGTCTTCCCGCCAGGTTCCCAGAGCCCTGGCTCGGATCTGCGCTGGGGTCCGCGGCCAGGAGGCCGGCGGGGATCGCTCGGTCCGCACGCCAGGTGCGCGTCCTGCCTGACCAGGTGACCCCGGCCAGGTGCTAGAGTCAGCCAGGCGCGCCCCAGCCCGCGGCGAGCCCAGGCCCGGGCTCTCTCCAGGTGGCAGCGTCCGGCACTCCCTCGGCGCGACCCCCCCTCCTCCCAGTGTCCCACATCTGAGGGCTCTGCAGGCTGGGTCCCTACACCATCTGCCAGCCCTGCGTGTTTGAAAGCAAGGTTCCTGTACCCCGGATTTTCTTTTTGGGATCTTTCCTTTTGCTGTTTTGAAGAGTTTGATAATAGGACAACCAAAATAGTGAGCTTGTTAAACAAAAAGTGGGATTGCTGTGCGTAGTTCAGAGGGACCTGGCTGGAGATGCCCACCCTGAGCCCACTGCAGAGAAACCTCGGGTCCAGGTGGTATTGCGCAACGCGGAAGAGAGTCGGGTGCTTGCTTGCCATGGATGTCCCTGGCATCGCCGCTCTGGTGCTGAGGAGTTGGTGGAGGAGAGTAGGGCCGAACAGCGGCCCAAACTTTGCTGCAGGGAAACTGCTGAGAGTGGAGCACAGCCGGAGCAGTCCCGTTCGGTCACTGGTCTGGGCGAGGGCAGTGGGGTTTTGAAGCCGTTCCATTCCCGTGGTTCTGCTGGGCAGGGGTTCAAGAGTTCCTGGCATGGAGGAGTAACCGGTGAAGTCTCCTGGGAGATTTCCTGCCAAGGTACAGCGCTCTTTCGGAACACCTGCAGCTGGAGTCTTGCAAAATCTAGGAAAAAAGGGAAAGGCAGGGTGCAGCTTCCAAAATGAAGCCTCCGCGGCCTGACTGGGGGGTGGAGGGCAGCCCCTCCCCTCTGCCCACCTGGCTGCCCAGGCTGCCCGGCTGCCCTCCCTCCACCAGCTGCCAGGAGAGTCCTTGGGAGCAGGTGGCACCTGTGTGCATGCCAAGGGGACCCCTCTCCTCTCTTTAAATTAAACTCTGAGAGCTGCAGAGCAGAGCTTTTCTCACTCACACACACGCCCGCTGCAGACGGCCTCTCCTGATCCTGGCTGGTACGGGTTGCGGCCTTTGTTCTGAGACAAACATGAACCCACCTAACTTGTACGCTGGTCCTGCATCCCTTTAGACAGAGGGCTCCTGAGTGCAACAGGACAGCCGCGAACAGGTTCGGTTAAGGTAAAGTAAAATACCGAATCTTAAGAGACGTTATTAAAAATAGGAGAGGTCTTTCTACATGTGGTTTTGCAGGAGCGCTGCTGACTTAACTCAGCTTTGTTTGAGATGTGCTTAGCTCAGGTTTGTTGTGCTGTTTGGCTCGAAGATGTGTACTCTCGCTTGTGGCACCGAATCTCAGTACTATCAAAACTGCTTGAAGCCTCTGGCTGACCCTCAGGTCCGCTGGGCGAGGTATGGACCCTCATTATTTACAGGGACCCTGAGGGACAGGGAAGTACAGCGGCGACTTTCCTGCACCTAGGAGGAGGGGGAACCAAAACTCAAATCTCTCAGCCTCCAACTGCATGGCCTGGTCCCCAGAGCCAGGTCGAGTGTGTGGATGACGAGGGTCAGAGGCCGGGAGGACGGGACAGGCTCGTGGGGACAGATCCCTTGCCTGAAGTCCAGCAGTCTACAGGAGGGCTCCGGCTGCTTGTGGGGCGGGGCGGGCACTGAGTCTGTGAATGCAGAGATCGATACTTCAGGGACGCTGAGCGGGGCACTTGCTCTTGCACAAAGCAGAGATAAAGGTGCCGCTCTGAACAGATCCTCCACGGGATCCCAGGGGAGCGGCCTGCCTGGCCTTACCCTGAAGCACGTCCGGTTCGGGAGGTCCAGGCTGTGTGTGAGAGAAACAAAGCACGAGTTCCAGTGGGATCCACATGGAAGAGCCACACCTTCCTTCCTCCCGGAGATCCGATCTGGAGGCCCGGCCTGGCGTGCGGCCAGGCGCACAGGGCCCTCAGAGCTCTGGCCTGGAGTTCAGGCTCCAGATTCCGTGCACACTCCTGGAGTGCACAGGGTGTGTTCCGCAGAGTGAAATGTGGGTGGTCTGCGCGGTGCCCACCTCTGCCCCCAGCACTGCGGTGCTCTCATCGCCTCCGGCCGCTTTGCCCACCTGACCGCACAGGAGCGCGGCCTCCGAGTGTTCACAGTGGCGTGACGCAGACGAGCCCCGACCAGGCAGTAGCATCGGAGGCTTAGAACAGCCGTGCTGGCTGCCAACGGCCAGTTTCATAATAGGTAATTTTTCAAAAATGTATTTTGAAGTTTGAAGAAGCCAGGTGCCAGAATTCGGTGTGCTGCATAATTACCCTGGTCCACGTGACAGCGCCAACATGTTCTGAAATGTTTTCAGAGGTAGTGTCAGTAAAGATGAAGGAGTCAGCCCTGTTTTAAAAGAAAATACTCTTTGTTTTTCCTTTGATGTAAGCTACAGGACTGCAGCCAGGGTCTGAAACTGCTTTGATAGGAGTGATAAATCAGCTCTCGTATTAAGGCAGTGAGGCTTTTGCACAGAAGGGAGGCAGCCCCAGGTCCTGAGATGGGCGGGACCCAGGCACTGGGGACTCTCAGCCTTTGAAGGACCGCCTAGAGTTGATGTGACCATGTGACTCGCTGTGAAAGTGTGTGTGTGCTTGATTTTAACTTGGTAATGTAGTAATGGCTTGCTTGAGATTAGAAAATTAAGTTTTGCTAAAAGCAGACGGAGAGTTCACAGCTTTAAAGCACAGCTCACCCATGTGTTGTTTCTCTGCAAGCACAGTTTTCCTCTGTCTTCTTTGCGGTCCTGGGGATTGAATCCAGGGCCTCACCCATTCGAGGCAGGGGCTCTGCAGTAGGGCCGGGTCCCCAGCCCTCCCTTGGAAACATGACTTTAAAAATTAGTTTCTGGTTCGGTCCATAATGAGCTAATTCCTCTTTTGTTTTCTTCTGTCATTTATGGATATGTGAAAGTATGGTAAGAAGCATTTTAAATCTGGTAACTTCCCTGGATTTTTTCCTGACGCATCAACACTTAGAACAGAGGATGAATCTCACTCCTTCTCCTGGCCATCCCTGTCTGTCCTCACAGCGCTGTCCCACACTTCTGTTTTATTTTCTTCCTAATGCAATGTCTGTTCTAAGAAAACTCCAGTGGTTAACGTTTACGACAGCTTCTTGATTATCCACCTCCCGGGCCCATGGCACAGGCCAAGGAGATGGGGCTCTGCTACCTTCCGGGCTAGAGTAACTGGCTATGCTGTAACTGCCCCTTTTCTGTCACTTGGTGAGCTTTCTCCCCACATGGTTATTCAGACACACCCGATCCAGATGTCCTGAGAGCTGCTGGTGCTGGGTGGGAGAGATCCATGGGCCAGGGCTGGTGGAGGCGTGTTTACTAAGCCCCAAGGGAAGCTCAGTGCTGGGTTTGACATTTCGGTCTCCAGAGGCCCTGAAGTACAGGCCCCAGGTCTGGCCCTGTTACTGACCATCTTTGAGCTGCATTGCTTAGGAAAGATCTCACTCCTCAAAATTTCAGCAGCTTGTTTTGGAAGTAGGATGCAAAAGGGGTGGTGGGAGACAGAAAGTCCTCTTTGCTTCTAGGTCCAGCCCATTCTGGTTCCCAGGGACAGACCCTTTCCGATTGTGTCTGCCGCTTCTCACTGGTAGGAAGTTGGGCTTACACTGGGAGGACTCTGTGTTCGAGGGCCTTGTGCATGGCCCCAAGTATATTCCCAGTCACTGGTGTAGGGACACCAGCACACACACCTGGCTTAGTGTAAATAATTACATGAGTTAGCCACTACAGCTTGACCTTTGAGAATAAGTACAAATGTTGGTGCTATTACAACTTAGGCTTTTGTTTGCATTTTTTCTTTGTGTGTGAGCCATGCTTCGGATTTGCACTGTTCTCCCCCAACTTTGAGACTGAGAACGGTCCCCACCCTGGAGCACCTGGGAAGCGACTAGCAGAAGAGGGAGCAGAGATCCCAAGTGTCACAAAACAGTGGAGCCTATGTAAAATAGAAGACATCTGTTCATTCTCACTGGAGAGGAACCAGGAGCGGCCCCCATGGGAAGGAACTGCACATTCGGTCCTTCAAAGAGATATGTTCCAGGCTCCTTCCCTCTGGGGAAGTGGTAGAAAGGGGTGTTGTAAGCGCAGCACCCGTGGGAGCGTGTTCTGGGGAGCCCCGGCATTCAGTGGGTTAGGTGAGCCGCTGTCACGCGCCCACCGTCACGTCCAAGCAGAGCTGCACCGGGTTCTGGAGGCTTGGCTTCCTGCCTGACGCGGCTGCCTAGCAAGCGACCTGATTAGTTGTGGTTATCAGTAACTGATAGCTAAGCATGGCTCACGGGAGAGCGCAGGAACCGTGTTTGTGCAAGTATTGGTGCAAGCACTCAGGTGAGGGGCGCTCAGTCCTTGTTTAGATCAGCACGAGTTCCTCATCACATATCAAGGCCTGAAACAACAGGAGCAGAAGACCACAGTTGCTTACTCTTCCCACCCGCCTCCCTTTACTCTTTTCTTTAATTTCCTTTTTCCTCTCCTCCCCT